GCTGACACAGGGAGAACATGTCAGAGCACCTGGAGGAAACCCACGCTGACACAGGGAGAACATGTCAGAGCACCTGGAGGAAACCCACGCTGACACAGGGAGAACATGTCAGAGCACCTGGAGGAAACCTACGCTGACACAGGGAGAACATGTAAACTCCACACAGAAGGGCTTCCTCCTGGGATCGAACCAGCAACCCTCTTGCTTACGAAAATGGATGATGAACAAACTGACAACAGACAGCTCTGTCATCAAGTTACTGAACTAACAGTACTTGGTGATCAGCTGATCAGAGTAAAGACACACAGCAGAGTTCAGTAAAAACACCATCAGCAGTTTGAGAGGCGGTGAGAGTGATGTCACCCTGCTGACAGATCAGTAAACGCTTCAGTAGTCTCGCTCACCAGACCTTTCTCAAGAAAAAAAAACGCCCCGGCTGCTTGTACCTCTTTCAACCAATCACAATCGTTCTGGGCGGTGCCACAGCAACGGTGCGCTTCCAAAAATATTGCCGGGGGGAAACAGGTTTTGGTGTAACACGCCCACAAAAATATCACCTACAGGACGCGAACCATGGCAGAAAAATGGCTACATCCCTGCAAGATCAAACACCGCAAAAGTTAGTAAAGGACGTGTTGAAAACTGCTACACAACCGGAGGTGGTAGGGCGGGACTTCAGCAGGTGGCTCGTTCCACCCAATGAGAGGCTGATCTATGCAGCGAACTTCCGCCCACTCAGACTAACGCTTCAGTGTCACGTTCTAACTAAAAGAAGTTTTGATTTTGATTTAGGATGAAGATGGCGGCGGGGCTCAAAGTCTCAGCAGCTCTCTGCGTTGACACCTGATCAGACGCTGCACTCCTGATCTGGTTGTATGTTCTTTGTACGATGACAATAAAGGCTTTCTGATTCTAATTTTCAGCTTTAAATGAAGGACTCGTCGTGGTGGTCAGAGGTGACCTGGTTCTGGCTGTCATGGTAACTTCAACCCTCTGGTCCAGTATACGTGACAGACTGGTGGATCCTGTGGGGACTGGGCTCAGTGGGAGCTAACGGTCTGAATCATGATGCACAGATCATTCAGCCCCTCGCTGTACATCACAGAGACGTACTGTAAAACAAAACCGTTCTGCTGCAACAAAAGAGGATGTTTCCAGTCCAGCGGGCGCTTTCAGGGTCCTAATGAGAGGGGCGGAGTCACAGCAGGAAACTGAGTCAAACTGTCACCAATAAGACGGCTCACATGTTAAACGCCTCTTCACAGGGAGGACCCGGGGGCCGATGGAGAGCTTCAACAGGTCCTGGAGAAGGTCCTGAGAGTCCCTCAAGAGCTTTAGAGGATGTCTAAGAAGCTGTAGGGGATACTATGACCAACTCAGGAAATAGAAATACACAAACACAAAGCTCCATGTCAGGTTCACTGAACCACTCAAAGTCCAGGTGAGGCTGAATGTGAGACAGAGTCCATGTCGCTCCACCTGTAATTAAAATCTCTTCTGTTTCCTGCCAACTCAAACAAACCGTACCTGATAAAGAATAAAATAATAAAGAGTAAACATGGGCGGAGTTAGTTAATGTCTTACTCAGAGAGATGAATGTGGGTCAATGATCAGATCAGCCTGATATGTTTCTGAGGAAACTGGATCACTCACCACAGGAACATCAAACCAGTCACGTCTTCAATAAAGTTCATCCGAGGGTCACCTGGCTCAGGTCGGCGCGCTGTAAACATCTTCAGACCGGGTGTTGTATGCAGGGCTGAGTATCACCACTGATTCCCTGAATTGATTTGATTTTGATTCACAACGTCCTGATTAAATTCAGTATTGATTCGATTGGGGATATTTCAGTTACAATACACATTTTGTATTGCATTTTTCAAGCAGCAACAGAATATTAAAAGAGCAAAGTCACAAAATAAACTCAGTAATATCTGACTGGAAACAAATCTAAACTATCAATAAAATAAATCATATTCCTGACGTCACAATACTGAGTGAAGTTTAGAAAGAATAAAGAACACAGACATCATCATCAGTCCTGCTGCTGAGGAGACTCACTGCCTGCAGGTCACATGACCACAGGTCACATGACCACAGGTAAGTTTTAAGATACGAGACAAACCGTCAGACATAAACAGGCGTTGTTATTTCAGCTTGCTATCAGCTGTAAAGCCTCTGTGCTTGTTTATAACATAATATGATCGGCGGTCCTTTCCTACATGTTAACACGTAGTTGATCAGGTGTATTGATAAAGTATTGACTTTATTTTGTGAAGGTTTTATTGCACTCACAGTAACAAGCGTAGATGTTATCTCATCGAGTTATCTTCACTTCCTGTCTCCACTACAGCATCTCTGCTCTGTGTTTGTGTGTCTGTGCGACAGACAGCAGGAGGAGCGGCTGCTGCAGCACGATCAAACACACCAACACATAAAAACAGTGAGCTAACAGTTACAGATAAAAGAGCCGGCTTTTAAAAATACGTACGTTAATAATTTAGTGCCACGGCTTGTTCACTACCAGCGAGATTAACGAGGTTAAAGCTTCACACATGCATGTAAACAGGAGTATATTAAAAGATTAATGTTGGATTTTATGAATCGATATCACATCATTAAAGGAGGATCAATTTGAGTCGGTGATTTGTTTATTTTAAGCTCTAGTCTTATTCGACTCAGCAGCTGCTCCTCAGTGGAACATAATGACAACAGGAAATGAGCGTCCAGCGAGCGTCCCCTAACATCAGAGCTCTCTGAACACAC